ATCATAAATATTATGGCCTCTGATCCAATCTATATACCACGATACACTGTTTCTTTGGAATTTGAAAGAGAATTGGCTTTACAAAGATTAAAAAAATTGGCTGATCAAAAATTCATTTCTGTTCTTGACTTTGAAAAAAATCCATTGAATATCTTTGCGGGTAATAATATTCGAAGGAGAAAAAGAATAGTAACAATATTTTTGTAATTTTTTATTTACTTATTATTATATTTATTTGTTTACGATTAAATAGCACATGAAATTGCAGGAATGGTTGATGGATCAATGGGCACAAAGGTAAATAAAAAAAATGATTAAAATTTGAGCTGCCAATCAATCCAACAGTTTGTTCAATAATCTCAATTAAATCATACCAATTCAATTATAGATGACAGTTCAATGGAATTTATTTGGTGGAAGCGTTATAAAATTAGGAACAGAACGGCATAGACATTTGCTACCAGGAATTGATAATTTAAACGATATAGGATGTTTTGGATTGACAGAATTGGGATTCGGAAACAATGCGGTCGAGATGCAAACCACGGCGATTTTTGATGAAAGTAGCCGTGAATTTATCATCAATACTCCGTCCACTTTGGCACAAAAATATTGGATTACAAATGTATGTGATGGGGTGGGGTGCGCGCGCAAGAGAGAGAAAGGATTTGATAATTAAATAATATTTGATAATATATAATGACATCAATAATAATGTTTTTTTTTGTTATAGTCTGCTGTTCATGCTAAATGGGTAATTGTATTTGCACAAACTTTTATTCGTGGTCAAAATGAAGGTATTCATGCAATACTTGTAAGACTTCGTGATGACAAGTATGTATTCTTTCAATTAATTTGACTATAACGGTGACTAAACATAATTATAAATACAATTTTACATTTAACCATAATAATAGTATGAAGCCTTGTAAAGGAGTTGTTATTGAAGACATGGGTGTTAAATTTGAATGCAATGGTGTTGATAATGGTAAATTGTGGTTTAAAAATGTATGTATGTTATATATTTTTTTAACTCTAGTAATTACAATGTGTCCATTATTTATATATCAATTAATATAAAATCATATATATAGGTAAGAGTACCAGTAGATAATTTATTGAATAGATTTTCAAATATCGATGAAAATAATAAATTTACAAGTTTAATTCCTAATAGAAGAGGGTTAGTTCTTTTTCCTTTAGGATATTAAAAAAAAAATTAATTATAATAATAAATTAATTTTATTTTTTTTTTTAATTACTGTCTTAAAGACGGTTTTTAAAAGTAGCAGATCAATTACTTTCTGGTAGATTAGCGATTGCTTCATTACATACAGGTGGATCTAAAGGTAAGCAAGTATTAAATAAAAGTTTTTAATTGATTCGTATACTTATATATATATAACTCACACATTTTTATTTATATTAGTTTGTCTGGCGATTGCATTTCGTTATGCTAATTCAAGATTAGCAGTTGGTCCAACTGGTAAAAGGTAATAAATTATATTTTATGTTTGTTGTAAAATTTATATTATTCATTCATTCACATTTGACAAACTTCTCTCATTTTCTCTCCATGATATTGATTTTTATAGCGACACACCGATTTTGAAATATCAATTACAACAAAATGCATTAATCCCACTGCTAGCACACACAATAGTCTTGAACATTTTTCTAAATTATTGTAAACAAAGATGGTCAATATTTTCTACATCACCGTTAAGTTACCGATTGAGCAACAATAATGAATCATCGGAAATTGTAAGATTATGTTGTGTGGTAAAGGGTAGCATTACTCAGCTTTCTAATGATGTGGCATTACGTGAACAACAACTTGGAGCAGTTGATGTAGCATTTGGCGCATTTACAGCTGATCCTAAAAGCTTGAAATCTGTGAGCACGTCTTCAACATCAGATCCAGGAACACTTAATCGTGTTGGATGGATAAAATTCTATTCAGTTTTCTTTAATCTGGAAAAGAAATCCACTGATATTGTTACTCAGATTAGTGACAACTACAATTGTTACAAAAAAATGGCAGTCGATCATCCACTAAAAGAAAAACCATTAGTTGCTTGGATTTCTTACGTTGCTCCAGATGAATTCAACAATAATACTGCAACTTGGAATATTGCTGATGCAATTTACAAGAAACAATTCACCGAAGATGCTGGAGGTGTCTATTTTAATGCAACAACTCTTGTTTATAATGACGCAAAAAGCTTTCTTCAAGCAATTGCAAATGTTGATATTGTGATTGATGAGACATTTATTGGAGCGACAATTGCAGATTTTTACAAGAATTACAATCTGAGCGCTGATCAGACCACTTACAAGTTTATCAAGAATAAAGCTATTTATCGTGAAGATGGTATCACTAATCCAATTGATGGCCGTGATTGGTTTGAGAGTGCAATTGTTATGGGTGATGCAGTTTTGGAGGATATGATAAATGTGGTGAATCCATCATTGCCAAGTACTTCCTATAAAAGAAATTGGTTTAGAAATATTGCAAATGATGAAACAATCAAAATTTCTTCATCCGCTAATTGTACTGATGTTCAGTCTAATAGCATTGTTGTGAGTATTATTTTATGGAAATTAAATTATATAGTTGAATAATGATTTAGAGAACTAGTAAAATTAATGATTAACCTTTAAAATTTTTTCCTTTCAACAAATTTAGTCAAAGGCAGATGTTTGTTCAACAATTACCGTCAAGTCAGACAGTTCGACCTTAACTTCCAATCTAGCAACAACAATTTCTCTCTCGATTTTATTCTCAATAGTCTTATTATTCATTAACTTTTAATGAAAAAATGAAAAAAAAAAAAATTATAACTATTGCAATCAAAATTTTGTAGTATTTGCTAAACTTTTATAATTAATTTTATTTATAATAAATAGTGTAAGTTTAATATTAAATATACATCGAATATTTCCACAACTATTTTTCTACTAAATAATAATTATTGTATTAATCGAAACTGATATTCGAGTCATGTGTTTTATTGAACTATCTTTTATTTCGTGTTCATTAGTTATGATATTTAACCCCGCATGATCCAATGGATGTTGGAGAACGAAAACAAAACATGTAAAATATTGTCCTTGTATTTAAATTTTATCAATTAATGTATCTGCTGATGTATTCTGACTGGTGTGTTCTCATCCAAGTTATCTGGTATATATAGTATGTACAAACTAAACTTGGCATATGAACAGGATAAGATTAACGTTTGTAATGTTCTAAATGATGAGGGTTATTGTGGCTGATAGCTAGTCTTTGAACAATTACTTATCAAATATGACAAATAAGATACGATGCGATGATGTTTAATGTAGCAGTGGTGATAAGCTTGGAGATGGCATTGTGGCAATAGTTAGGATGGAGGTGGCAGAATTTTGAGGACTCTGACAAATTAATGGTTGTGCCAAGTGCTAGACCAGGGCTGGAAATAATATTTTAAAAGTTCGGATTTTCCCTTAACTTCTGAAAAAATATATAGTAAATAAAGAAAATTTATCTTCTGGGGTTGGAACAATGTTAAATTCCAAATTTCACTATTTTCAGCCCTGGTATAGATTTTGATTGTATTAATATTAACAACTCGTGAAATTTATACCATATGTAGCATATATAACTCAAGTTATAAATATTAATCAATTGCCCAAAAATCTACACCATAATACATGTGAAATGCTGACTGTGAAATATAATTTTGTTTCAAACAAATTTTAAAAAATTCAAATTCTTGAAAATTTGATTAAAAATATGCCGCAAAGGATTCAAACTTGTATTGAGAATGAATTAATGTTGGCTGTAGATAATTATAACAGCGATAAAATTTCAAGCCTAATTATTTTATTTTTTTTATTATATTACTCAAGCTGCAGAAAGGCTTGAAGCTAGTGTTGGTTTCCAAAACTATTTTGACATATCAAAACTAGTCTAAGATTAAAGCATAGTTTCAAAACCTATGTCAAAACCCAAAACCTATGTCAAAACTCAAAACCTATGTCAAAACTCAAAACCTATGTCAAAACTCAAAATTCACTTAACATCATTTAATATCTAAATTAGTGTTGGAAACCAATGCTAATCTAATGAATAGAAAGCAGAAAATTAATTGTTTTTGTTTATTACAGTTGGTGATCAATATAAGAAACAGTTGGCTTTGACAAAAAACTTCACTATTACATCTTATAAGGTAATGAGAATCATTGTATTTCTCAATAATATGTGGGCATACCTAAACAAGGTCATGATTTTCTGAAAGTACTAGACCTCTAGTGACTTCAATTAAGTTGTTACTGGCACACAGTCCAATTCAATTAGAGATTTCCACACTATATTAATACTGTTACCAGTGCATATTTCAATATAATCATCAGGAAATTAAAATGTGTTATTCATATATAGCATGTGATAAAAATAACATCAGGAATATTTATTAATATAGATTATTTCTATTTTTATTTTTATTATATTTTATTTAATCTATTATTTATTTTTATTTTTATTTTATTTTATTTTATTTTTATTTATCAATAACATGTTGTGAGATGAAATATCCGAGTCTCACACAAATCTCTTAAATTTATTTATTTTGATATGCCAACAATGTTAATACAATTTCTTTCTAATTATTTATACTAAATCCTAACAAACAATTTTCGCGAATGTATATTTATGCTTTACTCTCAAAACTATCTTTTACTATCATTAAACAATTTCTTGTACTAAGAAATACT